AAAAGTCACTGCTATCGTCTGCTGCAGTTCTTTAGAAAGAACAATAAACAGCCAACTGTTTAATTAATTAATTAACAAAGACTTTGTAAAGTTATTTATATTCTTTATAATTCTGGAGAAGAAAACAGAGAAAAAGAGGAACAACCATTTAAAAGTGAATATGAATCATTGACAGCCATTTAAAAGTGAATACGAATATTTAAATAAATATGTAGTGACATTTGATAATATATTCTAAAAGTAGGCTCCACTGAATTCAGTGTGGCTTACTCTCAAGTAATAGAATATAGAAAATTATTTTTATTAAACCAATGAATTTTAAACCTGTAACTATTCTATGACCAGTTCTACTTTCCTTGTATCTTAATTCGGGTTCAGGAAATCTTATCATACCACCAACATCAAGTGTTAACAATGGTTAAAGTGTTATGTAGTCCTTAATGCCACTGCATCCAAATGGAGAGAAGTAAGCAGTGGGGTGCCACAAGGTTCCGTCTTAGGCTCAGTACTCTTCAGTATCTTCATAAATGACTTAGATGAGAGAATTGAAGGGGAACTCATCAAATTTGCAGATGACGACAAACTGATATGAGTAAGCAATACCCCAGAAAACAAACTCAGGATCCAAACAGATCTTGATCAACTTGAACAATGGGCCCTATACAACAAAATGAGTTTCAATGTGGAGAAAAGCAAAGTTTTACATTTATGCAGGAAAATTCAAAGGTACAAGTACAGATTGGGCGAGACCTGGCCCAAAAACAGTAACTGTGAGAAGGACCTTTGGAGTCCTAGTGGATGATCACTTGACCATGAGCCAGCACTGTGCAGCAGCAGCCAAAAAAGCTAATACAATCCTGGGTTGTATAAACAGAGGCATAGAATCAAGATCACACAAATTATTAGTACCACTTTATAAAACTCTAGTAAAACTACACCTGGAATACTGCGGCCAATTTTGATCATCATATCACAAAAAAGATATTGAGAGTTTGGAAAAAATTCAGAGAAGAGCAACTAAGAAAATCAAAGGCCTGAAGACTAAAACATGCAAAGAACAGCTGCAGGACTTGGGTTTGTCTAATCTAAAGAAAAGAAGAAATAGAGGAGACATGACAGCAGTATTTCAGTATCTGGGGGGCTGCCACAAGGAAGAGGGGGTCAGGTTGTTCACCAGAGCACCAGAGGGAACGACGAGAAACAATGGTTGGAAACTGATCAAAGAGAGAAGCAACCTGGAATTAAGGAGAAATTTCCTAACAGTGAGGACAATCGACCAGTGGAACAGCTTGCCTCCATCACTAGAGATTTTTAAGAAGAGACTAGACAATCACCTGTCTGAGATGGTATAGGTTCTCCTGCTTGAGCTGGACTAGAAGACCTCCAAGGTCCCTTCTATTCTATTCTATTCTATTCTATTCTATTCTATTCTATTCTATTCTATTCTATTCTATTCTATTCTATTCTATTCTAATCTAATCTAATCTAATCTAATATCTAGATACTAAAATTCCAGACCATAAGCCAGGAGGGGCAAGCTGAGATCCTAGCCCCAAACACCATTTTTGCTGCCCTGTCAAAACATGATTACTAAATATTGCAATTAATGACACAGCCTTGCCCGTGCTAACCTTCACTCTTTTAAGGATTTCATTATTACCGCCTGAGTGCTGTGGGTATATGAGAAACTATATAAATGGGCTATAAACAAATAAAATTTGCCATCACCACCCTCACCTCCAAAAGGCTATCATTATTATAAACAAAGACTAATAAACTGTAATTTTTATACAGGGTTTATATATTACATTAAGCCAATATCAAATAAACCACACTACAGTTTAGCATGGTATATAAACTCTGATAATATCTGTACTCAAAGGAATCATGATATACTCAGTTTAAGAAATCATTAAGTGTTCAATTTCTATACTATCATCTACTAGGGATTCCTGGTTGTTCATTAAAAAATCAATATAAAACTAAAATATGGGATATATAATTTTTAAAAATTTAGGGAAAATATTGAAAATCTAAAGAATTCCCTTTTGTAGGTATGATATAAGAAAACTAGCAAAAATTTAGAATATGTACATTTCACTATATTTGAAAAGATTTTCAACTGTATTTCATGCTACTCTGATTTAAGATAAGGTGCACTGATTCCTTTAATTACTGTCTCCTGTTCTACCTACCGACTCAATTGCCTGATCCCTTAGCTCCATGCATCAACATAAACATTCAACCCAACTTAATAAATAGGATTTCTGAGTGGCATGTTTGTACAACACTACGATGCTCAGGAGATTACAGAGATTGAAGTGATGCAATATTAAGTGGTTATGCAACAAGAAAGCATACATATGTATTTTACCAGCAATTTGCATTATTTTAACAATAGCCCTATAGCCCAATAGTTCAGAAGACAATATCTTCTGTGATGATCATGTCCATTATTGAGAAAGCACCTGAGGGATATGCATATGGTTAAGCAGATTTTTTTAATATTTTTTATCCTGAAATAGCACCCCCTAAAAGCAGCAGATTAAATTAAGATAAGAGAGAGAAGATTTGTTTTTTTCAAGGTTAGAATCACAGGGCTGGAAGGACCTTAGATGTCTTCTAATCCAACCACTTGCCCAAGACAGGAGTCTTTATACCATTCTGGACAAATGGTTGTCCAATCTTTTCTTGAAAACCACCAGCAATGGAGCTCCCATAATTCCAGCTGTTCCACTGACTAATTGTTCTGTTCTGACAGGTTAAATCTCCCTCTAACTAGCTTCAAACCATTGCTTCTTGTTCTGCCCTCAGACACTTTGGTAGAATAAATTGGCCCCCTCTTCTCTGTGGCAGCCCTTCAAGTATTGGAAGATGTCTATCGTGTCACCCTAAGCCTTCTCTTTGTTAAGCTAAACTTACCTAGTTTCCTTAGCAGTTCATCCTATAGTTTAGCCTCCAGATCACTTATCATCTTCATTGCTCTTCTCTAACTCTTTCTAGGGCTTCACAATCTTTTTTTGTATCATGGTGACCAGAACTGGAACCAGTATTCCAGGTGTGGTTTTGCTAGTGCAATGTAGAGTGACGCTATCGCTTCTTGTGTTCTTGATACTATCCATCTGTTGATACAGCCTACAGTATGACTGCATTGGCTTAATTGGTTAACTGCATTGGTTAAGCAACTACTGAACACAGAATTAGTTCTAGTTCAATTTGGCCATGTCTCAATTTGAGACTGAATCTCAATTAAATAGCAAGAAAACCATGTCATAAAGAAAAAGATGGACATTGATCCAAGATCCATAAACCCCACAGTAAAAGTAGCTCTGATTCATTATAATTTTTGGTACCTGGGAGAATAGGGAGGAGGCCAATCCCAAGACGAAGGGAGTGCAACAGTATTCATAAACTACCTTGGGAATGCTCACTTCAAAATAAGAAGCCTAACTGCTATTGTTTATGACACAATTAGCATATCAACAAGTTTAATCAGTGAAATGCAGAACATACATGAAGAAATCTATGATCCCTTAAGTAAACTACCTTTTTTATTAAAGGTTTTTAAAACCTTTTCCTACTCATTTTCTTCATATAAGAAGCATAAGTATCTTCTCGAAAACTTTTCTTGAAAGCAGAATCTTCTGTTCATTAAAATATTACAAATAGTACCAGATTTATCCTTGTGTTTACTAAAGTCCATTAGACTCTAAAGATCTGAGGAAGTCTTTAAAGTATTTCATTTACTGACCAATTTCTTTTATAATTTTCTACCCATATTGTATCTGATTTCGTTCAGTCTTATGATACTCATAAAGATAGCAAGAAAAATTATGCTACAGTTTTTGCAGCCAAGATTGCACGTATTGATTGTACTATATGTGGATTTTTTTCTGAGAAGTGTTGTTCCATTTTGCTTCTTTCCTCTTCTCCCAAATGTGTCTCACATCCTTTCTTAAAGTTCCATATTTATAATATATTATTAGCTTTTATTCCCTGTGGTTGATGCTGGAATATTCCCTGGCTGATAAGTTTTCTATTTATTTGGGAGACATTCTGGAGGAAAGGTCATGCTTCTCCTCTAATTCTAAAATCTGATGGCTGATAAATTGGGGTAACAATCTCATATTAAGCCTTTCATTATTACCTAATATTCCCTCACCTATACAGTAATGGGCACTTGTAGAGGCTTCAAAATATCTACACAATCTTTGCTAATTCAGACAGATTTCTTAATCATATTCAAAATAGTAGGTCACAATCTCATCTTAACTGAGATTTTACAGAACCTCAAAGTCACACTTAGTTAAAGCAAATACATGTTTTCTCCTTTAAAAAGGATATACAAACTGATGTTAAGAAACAATGCTAGCAGAAACATGCATTTTAGTATTTATATACCAAATCAAGTCCCAAGAGATGAATCTTTTACCTTAGAGACAAACTTTCATCCCTAACATTCCCTTTGGTTTTTAATAGGCAGCTGATAACATATTTTTGAAAATTACCAGTATCATTAAGTCAGTCATTTTTTACTATATAGTAGGATACTAACTATAGTATCCTAAGCAGTAGGACCAAGTAGATTATTCTTCATGCAAAAAAAGTGAACTGACTAGCAATGTCTGAACAACTGAACAACAACTATTTCTTCACTTAATGAGTAACCCAGCCATTCTGTCTCATCTTAATTTACTTCATGGGGCTGTTGTGAGGATAAAGTGCATGTAACAGTAAAAATGGACATATATTTGAATCATGAACTGAGACAGATTTTTACAATCAAAACAGCCATTCTATTCAGCCTAGACATTCTATGCATCTGATTAATTTTAAAACTTAAAATGTGTCTGTCAGGAAAGATGTTACCAGATTTCTCCTGATATTTTTTTTTTGCCACCGTACACTAACATAGTTATCTTCTGCAATTTTATGTACAGTTAAACGTGATGATGAATTCAGGTCTGACAAACCAAAAAGTAGTTCTTGGAGTGACCTACCGTGTGAGGGTTGTCATAGTAGATAGCGATAGAAGACAGCCTTGGAGAGACGCTGCAGCTGTCTGTAAAAAACCTTCCAGAGTCGCCATAAGGCCCCACCTGGAATTTGTATGCCACAGTGATGTTGCCAATGGGGGGCAAACCAGCATTCACAATTACTTCTGTAAATAGTCCCGAATAAACAGCAAAGCCGAAGATCGTCAGCAACAGAAGCAGCACCAAGGCCACAAACAATCCAATTAGAAGCCAGTCCGACATGACTTCTGATGCATCCAATGTTCAGATTATCAACTAATGACAAGAGATGAGACCAAAGATTACTGAATGCAGATCCTTGTTGCTTTTCTCTATATGCTAGGACTTACAGCGAAACAGAAGAGTTAAAAGGATTCCTTCTTTCCTTAGCTACAATTCACTGTATTCTTTATGAATCCTGCTTTGCTTATGAAGCCCTCTATGGAATGGGACTAACATAGTTCCTCTTTCTAGATATTTTATTTAACCCATCTGATCTGGCAGGGAGGATATGTTCCTGGTCTTGCCAATTAAAAAATGTCATCTAGTGGGACCCAGGAAGATGCCTTCTCTGTTGCAGTATCTGTCTTTTGGAACCGTATTCCACCCGTCCAAAATTAGATTGGACCAATCCTGCTGGCCTTTCTGAAGACTCTTAAGACTCTGCTCTTCTCACAAGCATGATGATTAGAAGACAGAACTCATGAGGTCTTGCTACTTTGATGTGACAAAACTGTCAATTTTTTGAGCAAGAAAATAATTAAAAGAATTACTAAACTATAGTAGAGAAATCTCTACTCTATTTACAGCAATACACTGCTTTTGTGTTGTTTGTGAACATTAACATCTGAATTAGTTTTCTGTTCATCTGTTTTGTCTATTTGACCAAGGGCAAGGAAGAAACTTTGAAATAATATGGTTGACATTTCATTTCTTTAGATTAACAGATTGCCTAACTCACTGTACATTGTTTGAGAGCATTTACCAATCATTACATTTGACAATCATTCCCATTTCGATTAAATTATCAGCATATTTTGCAGGTAGCAAGGGTTTTGCATCTACATGAAAACTGGCATGATTATCTGAGAGTGATTCACACAATTGTTGGACAAATCATGAATACAGAGAAATGCCTGGAAAAAAAAATCCTGCATGTAATGAATCAGCCATTACCCAAAGGCCAAATAATTCATGAGGCAGCAATACACACATCTGAACTATTACTGATGGATGACACCATGAATGAACCTATCTTTAAAGTATGTCTTGATAAAGTTATCACTCAATTTAGTTCTTAGGCTCAAGAGAGGTATCAATATGATATTGAATCTCAAAGCAATCAGGTATAATTGTGGCAAGATGGGTGGCAAACAAATGTAATAAATAAATAAAATAATACATTATTTCTTGAAGCTGAGATTTATCCACTGTTTCATTCTTTTTTCAGAAATTTCATAATTTGAGACAGACACTTCTTCAATAAACATTTTGGTCTTACCTGAAGAATAACACAAGATCCTCTGATTCAGTATTTGCTTTCTGGAAAAAAAAACACAAATGTTTACTAAGGTAGCCTGATCTCATAATTTCAAATTTTGCATTAGAACATCAAGGCTCTATAATATTTCACTGTTGTAAGCAAAAGATCCCGTAAGAATGGAAATAGAGAAGCATTCTTCCTATAAATCAGTGGTTCTCAACCTTTTTAATGCCACGACCCCCCCCAACCGGTCGTAAGTAGAGGACTACTCAACTGATGCAGCACCGTTTGCAGAATGGGACTTTTGGCGGGCTCAGCAGGGCAGAGACAGCCTGGACAATTCCTATTGGCTTTTGAAAGCCAATAGAATTAGACTCTATTCAAGAAGTCTATTCTATTGACTTTCAAAAGCCAATAGAATAAAAGGGAGTAGCACAGCTAAGGAAAAGGGGAAAAAATGGCGGACTGCGTTGTTTGGCGACCCCCGTGAAATGGTCGTTCGACCCCAAATGGGGTCCCGACCCACAGGTTGAAAACTACTGCTATAAATGAATCTCTTCCTGGGAGAATGGGAAGAGATCACGTATGCTCATTCAAAAATAGCTCAGGGAAGCAAATAATGAAAGCAGTATTGTACCAAAACATAAGACATGCTCCACCCTGTTTTGCTTGTGTATTGTGATATCACATGCACATACAAAAAGAGTGGAGCTTGCATTATGGAGCACAATGCTGCTTACATCATTTAGAATAGAATAGAGCTGGAAGGGACCTTGGAGGTCTTCTAGTCCATCCCTCTGCTCAAGCAGGAGAAACTATACCATCTCAGACAAGGGACTGTCTAACCCAGGAGTGTCAAACTGCCGGCCCATGGGCCAGATACGTCATACTGAAACCGTGCCCATCCCATTGCCGGCAATGGAAAAAGAGTTACAATACGTTCCAACACGTCATGTGACAGTGCGAGTTTGACACCCCTGGTCTAGCCTCTTCTTAAAAATCTCCAGTGATGGAGCACCCACGATTTCTGGAGGCAAGCTGTTCCACTGGTTAATTGTCCTCACTGTAGGAAATTTCTCCTTAATTCCAGGTTGCTTCTCTCTTTGATCAGTTTCCAACCATTGTTTCTTGCCCTGTCCTCTGGTGCTTTGTTGAATAATGTGACCCCTCTTCTTTGTGGCATCCCCTCAAATACTGAAATACTGCTATCATGTCTCCCCTATTTCTTCTTTTCTTTAAACTAGCCAAGCCCAAGTCTCACAGCCATTCTTCGTATGTTTTAGTCTCCAGGCCTTTGGTCATCTTAGTTGCTCTTTTCTGAATTTTTTCCAAACTCTCAACATCTTTTTTGTGATATGGTGACCAAAATTGGCTGCAATATTCCAGATGTGGTCTTAGTAGGGTTTTATAAAGCGGTACTAATATCTCATGTGATCTTGATTCTATGCGTCTATTTATACAACCCAGGTTTGTATTAGCTTTTTTGGCGGCTGCTGCACACTGCTGGCTCATAGTCAAGTGATCGTCCACTAGGACTCCAAAGGTCCCTCTCACAGTTGCTGTTTCTAAGCCAGGTCTCACCCAATTTGTACTTGTACCTTTGATTATTCCTGCCTAAATGCAAAACTTTGCTTTTCTCCACATTTCAACTCATTGTGTTGGATAGAGCCTATTGTTCAAGTTTATCAAGATCTTTTTGGATCCTGAGTTTGTCTTCTGGGGTGTTGGCTACTCCTGCCAGTTTGGCGTCATCTGCAAATTTGATGAGTTCCCCTTCATTTCCCCCATCTAAGTCATTGATGAAGATACTGAAGAGTACTGGGCCTAAGACGGAACCTTGTGGCACCCCACTGCTTACTTCTCTCCATGTGGATGAAGTGCCATTGAGGACTACTGATTGAGTACCGTTTGCCAGCCAGCTACAGATCCATCCATTTTACTGAAGGAATCAGAACTCGTAGATTCCCTTGAATGGAATATGGTAGGTTGTTATCAAGGACAGGCATACTGGTCATAACACCAATACAGTCTTAACTGTATCTTTCAAGTAAAAACTACAACTTGGTAATGATAGGAACCTTCATCAGGAAGCAGCCCAGACCCAACAGAATTCTATTTGGTTTCCCAATAAATTTGATTATTTATTTATGACACTTGTTATGCTATTCCATAACAGTTTCTGGCCAGCTTCTGCTTCCCCTCCATAAAAACCTCCATAAAAATTTAGTCAAAGACTATAGAACTTAAAAACATATGAAAATTCAACAAACAAATCTCAGTACACTGTATACAAGGGAAAAAAACATTTTCCCTGGAAAGACCTCTAGGATTAAGCAGGATTCTCTAGAAAGTGTTCAAAAACTGGTTGTTCCAACTTAAAAATCTCTCTCCTTTATAATTACTAGAGTTATTATTATTTTAAAGTTTCAAAAAAATGTAAAAAGAGAGATACTGAGCATAAGCACACCTCCCTATTATGCATTAAAGTAGCCGACACTGTAAGACACACTTGGGATAAAAACTGCAACGGCTTTCAATATTGCACTAACTTTTGAAATTTTAAATTTTAAAAATGCAACTGTTGAAGCAGCAGGCGGTTGTTTTTTGGAGTTTTTTTCCAGTCATACAAAAGCCCAGAGGTACGGAGGAAAGAACAGCTTCAAACGAGGTGTGTTCTGCTCATACGAGGTCAAAATCATTGAAAACAAAATTGTTTTCAAAGTGGGAACATTCTAATAATTATCCCCTTTACTTCAAAACCGAGGGCAATTCTAGAGCAGAACCTTTAGGGGGAGACATTACAATCTCATAAACTGATGGGAGAAAGCTTCTTTCAGGCAGCCTGATTCAATCCACCTTGAACAGCTGACAAGTCACTGCCAGTCCTACGACAACTGATTACCTAGCAGTTCTCATTTTGACGAATAGCAATTTCCCATTCGACCATTTTAAGACCCCAAATACAAGATTTAACAATAACTGAAGTAAGAAAATATCAAAAAATCTAGGCAAGTGTGACCCAACAACTCCTTCTACACCTACCAAATCTGGGCTGCAAAAATGCAGATGACTACCAAATGGCAGCACAGAAACAGAGCCTTCTCTATCTTTTCTATCTAATGGTTATCTGGGTTTGTAGTCCAGATCTAGCGGCTCTACCTCAATAGGGCAAATGATTCAATGAGAAAAAGTTCTTCAAGTGAACTGGCATTGGCAGATCAATAAAAATGCCTGATTGAAACCCAAATCTTATAGTAACAATGTTATCGCCCAAAGTGATATTCACTCTTACAAAGCACTTACAATCCACCCTTTCTCTCCTGTAATGTCAATGAAGGCTCTGTGTAGGAGATACAGAGAGGTGAGTTTCTTAAATCCTTTCCCTATTCACCAATTTCTCCTGCAGTCACTTTTTAATGTTTTATTCCCAAGTAAGCTCTAAACTCACAAAATTCTACGTTTATTTAGAAAATTGGGTGGCATTATTTATATGTGCCTATTCATACAACGTTCGAAGCAGCCTACAGCAACAAATTTTTAAAATGTAAGGTTTTTAAAAATGTAAGAACTGGTGAATTCCATAATGTTGTCCATCTCCACAAAACCAACCATGGCATTCTACATCCAGGGCCAAGAAAGGACATCTGTACCCAGAAGTCAGGTTTCTAAGTAGGGTCACATTCCAAATCAGGGAGGAAAGATAAATCAGATGCACTGATTGCCTTCAGCATGTTTGGATACCTCTGCAAATTTAATCCCACCGCATGTCTAAACAGCAAATGGGGGCAGACATATACAGTATAAAGACACAACCAATTTATTCCAATGGTTCCAAATTCAGAAATAATAAACAAGTTGTCTATGCCTAGACAAGTAAGATTAAAATGAGAAGTAATGTCCACTCTTCCTTGTTTTGTTTTGTTTTTTTAATGCCTGGGAGAAAAGTATCCAGGCCACACATAAGCATAAGACGACTTTATATCACTATAATCCAGCTTCCTGTTTATCCCATTGTTAGTGGCTTATTATATGACTCTAGGATACCTAGAAGCAAGACATTAAAACATGCTAAAGGAAGCACTGCTGAAAATTGCATATTTTTTCCTTAAGTTAGCTGTATTTATATTATAATTACAAATACATCAGCCCATATTATAAAATTACATTTAAAGATCACATCTAAGTATGTTTAATTAGGAGTATGCATGATTAAAATTCATGGGGTTATTTCTGGGTAAACATGATCTACAGTCACGTTTTGCATTTAAGTGGTGGCTTCAAAAATTCAAAAACTTCTAAAATGGGAAACAGTTAAGTATAGAGCTATACTCTGGGGATTATTTAATATCTTCATAAGTGACAAGAATAACAGTGGCTTCAAACTTGTTCCCTAGATCTAAACCAGAGTAAAATGGCACTATTGTCCCATGTAGCATACTTCCAATATTATTACTTTGCCATAATTGCCCAAGTAGGTAGCTGTGTTTGCTGACTTCATCCGGCCTCAAAATATTGTTAGGGTCAGATCACATTACCTAGATAGTAGGCTATCAGGAAATACCATTACTATTGGCCAGACTGGGAAGTTGAAAAACATCCCAGATGTAGGCAATGGCATATCATATTATTCTGAAGAAAACAACATGGATTAAGATCCCAGGTGTGGAGCCCAATTTGAAGGTAATTTAACTTTACTGTCATAGACAATAATGTCATAGATATCAGGCCATAAATCATCCATTGGAGCATCAGGAATTGCTGATTTTTCTATCCTTCTCTTCTGAACTTAACAGTGCCTTCTCCTTTTTAACCACCTGAATCTACCCAGGGATGAAGAGAGACAGTTACCTCTTAAACAGCAAAGCAAATAATCGCCTTTCTCTAATTTATATTGAAGTTACACTTTTCAAGAACTCAATTATCTCCAACATGTAAGATTTCAAAAAAACATTTGAGCAAGAGACAGCGAGGAACCATTTATGCGGGACACGTCTTGACTCCCATTTCACTATTCACAACGTAGGGGAGAACATTAAGCCCCTCTTCGGGCTTTGGACAATGTCATCCGACTTAATTAAGATAAGCGCATAATAAACACATTCTCAGGGTATTTGGGACAAGATCCTACCCAGGTTTGCATTTCGTACCAATATTTAATAACCTCAGTCAATACTGGCTTTGAGAACTGATGGACCATTTAAACATGGCAAAAGGATATACAGTACAGGTAGTCTTCGACTTACAGCCATTTGTTTAGTGACTTACAGTTACAAAGGCACTGAAAAAAAGTGACTTACGACTGTTTCTCACATTTATAACCATTGTTATGTGATCAAAATCCAGATGCTTGGCAACTGGCATGTATTTATGATGGTTGCGGTGTTCCAGGGTCATGTCATCACTTTTGCGACCATCCAACAAGCAAAGTCAATGGGGAAGCCAAATTCACTTAACAACCTTGTCACTAACTTAATAACTGCAGTGATTCACTTAACAACTATGGCAAGAAAGGTTGTAAAATGGGACAAAATTCATTTCACAACTGTCTTGTTTACCAATGGAAATTTGGGCTCAGTTGTGGCTGTAACATGAGAACTACCTGGATCTAAACTTGTGTGGCGGGGAGGGAAATCATAAGTTAAATTTAAGGTCTTATGAGATGCAAAGAAAAAAAAAAGAAGTATTAGGATATGACCTGAGATTTGGAGGGCATGGTTATCTAGTACAACAAAGTCAATGTTAATGTGGATTTCAAAAATAATTATATTAGATGTGTCATACTGAGAATATGAAATAGATGCAAATCCAGGTTATGCCCTAAAACACCTTTGTGACTTTCAGCAGAAGAAGCATTTTATACATGAGAAATAATAGGCAATCACAAATGCTAACTTATTATGAGATATTAGAATTTTGCCAAGAGAAATGTAAAACAAAATTAAGAGAACTGGTGGCATAGAAATATAGTTATCAATTGTTCTTTTGTTTATGTACAATTATTAGAAAGATTTAAAGTAGACAAAAAAGTTTAGTTTTAAGCAATGTAAGACTGAGTTTGAAATGGAATTGTGTACAAATTATGAACATGTAATTGCTAAAAGGTATTAATTTTTTTTGAAATTTGAAACAGAAGAACAAGTGAAAGAATATATGTAAAATGGGCTAAATTTATTATAATATACAAAACAAATACGATAAAAAGAATTGAAATCTATATTATATTATAATGTTAAAGATAATGTTTATAAGGAATGTTAAATTTACACAAGCTCAAAATTTACGAGAAAATTTTTACAAAATGTTTTATAGGTGGCACCTTGATCCACAGAAGATGTCTCGTATGTATCCAGATCTACAGCCTAAATGTTGGAGATGTGGTTGTTTGGATGCAACGTATTATCATATTTGGTGGTCATGTAAAAATATAAAGGCTTTTTGGATTAAGATTTGGTGGAATATTCAAAAAAATTTTAATAGAAGGATAAAATTTACACCACAATTGTTTTTGTTAGACATTATTGTTGATTGTGATGATAAAGAAATTATTTTAATGTTGAATTTAATTACAGCGGCAAGGCTGCTGATAGGGCAATACTGGAAGAAGGCGTTTTTGCCTACTTTAGAGGAATGGTTTCTTAAAGTTTCTTATTTATCTGAAATGGCAAAAATTTCGGCTTATTTGAAAGATCAATCGCAAGAGAAATATTTTTGGGTGTGGAAAAGATGGGTGAATTTTATATAGCACAAATATGAGATTAAAAAGTATTATCTAGCTTTTAAATAATTTATGTTTAAGGTAACGATTAGAACTATTGTTTTGTTTTGTTTTTATATATTGGAGTTAAAGTATTTAAAATTTTGTTGTTTTTTTTTTAATGTATTTATAATTGTTTGATGTTTATTTAAGTTGTAAGGTTTTTTTTTTAGTTTTTATTAACCCTGTATTCAGCTCTGGGAAGAAGGGGGGAGGATGATGGGTGGGGGGGGGTGGGAGAGGGGGATTATTTTATTGTAAAACTGAAAAAATTTTCAATAAAAAAAAGATAATGTTTATAAAATGATGTATGGTTGGTATATATCACTAGAAAAATTGTCTAAAATGTATAAAGGCACTTCAAATTTATGCTGAAAATATGAACAAGAAGGGATATTTTATCATGTTTGGTGGACATCTAAAAAAGCAAGAAAATTTTGGATTCCAATACATATATTGCTTCAGAGGATTTTAAAGATTTATATAAAATTGAAACTTTTGGAACCTAAAGGATAAAAAAATGGAAAAAGTTATGGAACTTTGATTTTGTATCTGATTACTGCAGCAGATTATTGCATGCACAAAAATGGGAAGATTCAGCATTATTTACAACTGGAAATGGTTGGTGAAGGTAATGGATGGATGAGATAGCCAAATTGAGTTCTCTGATTAGAGAAAAGACAACCATCTACATTTATTGCTGGAAACCTCTTATGGACTTTTTGTAGAAAACAGGAAAAAATGAACATGATTTTGACTACTAGACAGGATTATAGAAAGAAGAGAGACATGTTGTATCTTTAGAAAAAGAGGTAAATTTATAATTGTATTTATAACTGGTGTAAAAAAGATTTCCTGCCCTGACAAGAATGGCAGGATGCCATTTCACATCATTTAAATTGTGTTTACAATTCCAGTGTGATATATTATACAAATTGCCTTTGATTAAATAATATAAAGTTTGTACTGTGATAATTCCCATGTGTATTTATTCTTCCAGTGTTTATTTTTAATTCTTAAACCTGGGAAGTCAAAATCAGAGACACACAGGATAATCTCTAAACATACTATCTTCCACATATACCAAGAGAGAAAAAATCTTACTTTATGAAGAAAATGAAACAGACAAAATTACTATAACATGGAAGTGTTGCTTCCCAATTACTTGAAAATGAAAATTACAAAATCGTGTTCATCTTTTTCTCTTCAATGAGCTGTTTTGTCTCTCCCAAAACAGCCTGTTTATTTTACCAGCATTCTACTTCCTGGTTCATGTGTACCGGCTTGATGAGATCATCATGCTCGTGCACAGTTTCCAAGGCCAGAATCTACATTTACAATTATTCCTTAAAGAACTAGGGCTGCTTTTAACGAAACCTCTGAAATATGCTTTCTTTACTAGCAATTTACCTGGTAAAGATGAACACATTATTTTGGAAAAATAGAAGGATCAAATATCTGATATTTGGAGAGACTTGCAAAAGAGAGGGATTTTTTTTTTCTTTTTTTATCCTGTTTGTGATGTTCCCAATGCTCAGTGTAATCATATATTTCCGTCAAGGCAACTGCTGGTAAAGACAACTATCAGAATGGAATGAGTCCTTGGGACAAGTCCAAAATATGATCCAAACCAGCAAGTCTGGTTAAAAGCCAGTTTAGTAGCTGTCACTCACTTGTCTTTCCTACCCAAACATTTTTCCATCCAAGCGCAATCTATGATTTTAAGTGCACTTACAATCATATTCCTAAAGCCATAAGCTACTGAACCACAGAAAAATAAGAAAGAATCATTTGAATTATGTTACATCAACTAAATCCTCTCTGCATCTACCAACATTTAAAGTTTTGTTTAAAATTGTGCAATGTTTACTCATTTCTCAACATTTCATCTCAGTGTGGCAAGGGAATGAGAAACTTAGTGTTTAAATTAAATCAATGTTTTCACTCTATATCTTCCATAGAAAAGCTCTAGAGCATGATGAAAAGGCTTAAAAAGAAATCAAAATATTTTTTAAAAAACAGTGAGAATTACAAATGATGAAGATATACAATAGGGTGGGATTAGGCATATCATCAAATTAAACTATATACACTTATCTAAAGTCAGATCAACTGAACTAAAAATAATTTATATATCCAAGTAAGCATGCAAAAATAACTTAAATAGATACCTGAATTAAAGTTTTAGATTGACAGTGAAGATGGGATGTTAATTTGTTTCATAATTAAAGTTGCTAGGTTTCTTTCTGGGAAAATCGTATTCCTCTACCAGATTTATGACTACCAGAATTTCAGGTACAAATGTTTTATCAGGATGTAAATAAGATAACAATTTACATTTTAAAATATTCTGTATTACTGCGTGTTATGTTGCTATATTATGAAATGCCCAGGAACCTACTACACAGAATGCAAACTATCTCTTACATACATTAATGACATTATAATAGTATCCTACAAAAATACAAAACTGTTTGTAAATGAAGATTGGGGAATCACACAAGCTAATAAGACCAAAACTGAAAACCAGAGGTCCTAATTTGTATATCATTTCTTTAGTTCTTCCACAGATGGTCTACTGTAAAAATAAGCTCAAGGTTGGTAAACCGTGGGGCTTTTGCTTGCTTGCTTGCTTTGCTACTAAGAAAAGTTCTCATCCCAGCGCTTGATCCATTGCCCCCGCATCCAAGTATCTTCTGATCTTTAAAGCAGCCAGGCCCAAGATGTGAATCCGCAGCACTGAGGAAAAGTGACAGCCAACTATTTCTGCTCCCCCTATCACCTGATAGTCCCAGCTGGGCTATTGTTTATATCCAGACAAACGGACTCCAACCCCTCTCGCCTCTTCCTCCAACAGCTACGAACACTCAAGTTTTCCTCTCCACAAACACCCCCCCCGGTCCCCACCTGATATCCCACCCATCCCGGGAACCCACAAGACCATCTGCTCATAGGACTATCCTCCCCTCGGATCCCTAGGGGACGCTCTCCCCCATTCCGCCCCCCGCCTGTCTGTCACCTTCCCTGCCCACAACCTCGCCCCAAGGATCGGGGACAGGAGGCAGTTCCCGCCAGCCCCATTTCCCTTCCGCTCAGCAGCGACCCGTCGCCCATTTGACACCTAAACACCCCCCCCCCAAGCCACCCAGATCCTCCCCAGATCAACTTGGGACCTGGTCCTTCAGGCTTCGCCTTCTCCTTCCCCGGCTGCAGCCCCCGGGATCGCCCCCCGCCTGCCCCTCCGACTCACCCCCCCCCCTCCACACACACACATACATACAGCGATGGGCAGCGGAGCCGTTTCGGCGAGCAAGTGGTAGCTCCCAGCTCAGTCGCGGGCTGAGGAGGCTGTGCGCGGGGACGCGCCCGATGAGGCGGCCGCCAAGCGCGTCCCCGCCCACCGCGCCGTACCCGTGCCCTAACGGGAGCGCGCCACGAGCGGCTGAGCCGCACGGGAGGCGGCCGGGAACCTATTGTGGCGCTGGCAGCGGCTTTGCCGAGTTGGGTTTCGCTGGCGGGAGAGCGGGAAAGGGCAACATAGATGGAGCTCAATTAGAGCCCTTGGTGGAGCAGGCCTCCTCCTGCCTGTCTGCCTGCTACGTGGACGAGGGCGACGAGCACGTGGCTGCGGGCTGGAGCTGTTGGCCAGCTACCACCCCCCCCCCCGCTCAGCCGGGTTTACAGCTTTTTTTTCCGTGACTTAGCTCAAGCTTTCCTCTGTACTTTCGGGGTGTGGGGAGAGAAACCTTATTTAGTGCCTGTTTTAAGGCTGTGTCCGGATGCAGCGTCAACTCCATTTTTCTGTGGGTTGAGCAGGCAGCAGTTCAAAAGGTTCTTCTTTCACTGTCACTCTCTTGGGAAAAGTTAACAACAGTGGGTTACCATGTTGGCCATGCCACATGCTAGAAAAAGGGATTTTAGGTGTAGTAGCAGAAGGTGGCTGTGGGACTAGCGACCTGGGCTTCCAAATACCAGGCAACAATTATGTTTTCTGCCATCTAAGTAGCCCTTTGGATTTTTGCTGCTCAGACTTGATAAGCCTGCTTGTAGGGTAGCATTTTAAGATTGGGAAGGAAGTAGTAATGAGAAGATTCCTCCCAGAGAAGGGAAAGAGCCATTGTCCTGCACCAAAGAAATGTTGCTGTTAAGGACGGTATAAAATGCTTCTTTAACTGTTTTGTGCATCTGAAACACAGTCCAGTTTTATACATGTTTGCTTCTTGATTTTCATTAGGGGGATTACCCATGTACAAGATTTTTTTTTTTGGCAAAGTAAATTTGTTGTACTAATCATTATAATCTTACATGGTGAACAACCCAAGATGTCTTATAACATAAAAATATATAAAATACAGTAAAATCAAACCATTTAAAATCAGTTTAACTGTTGAACAGTATTATTAAAATATTGTTTTACTTAATGGATTTAACAACTTTTATGTTAACAATGTTCACCCTCACAGGATGACTTCTGATTACCAAAATCAAGTAAGAATTTTCTAAGGTGTTAGTTGGAGAATCTCATATTTTCTGTGTGTGGTCATTTAAAAAAAATCAATACTCTTACAAGGCAATGTTTCTATATCTGAAGTACGTTGAGATGTGTACTTCAACTCTCAGAATTCAGTCAGGGTTCTCATTCTCTCTCTCTCTCTCTCTCTCTCTCACACACACACACACACACACACACACACACACTGCTTACAAAGGTTGGAAAACCCCAAAAAGTTTCAGATGATGCTGAAGAATCAGAGATCAGTTATCCTATGAAACAGAAGTACTTTCTATAGCAAATTAGAATTTATTGGAGAGAAGTATGTAGCATTATTTGTTCCAAACTTAGGAGATATTTTAAGATCCCACCATCACGTTTTTCCCCCACCCAAAGGCTTGAAAGGCTTCAGGTGTCTGGACCTTCTGGTGTCAGGAGCCTTCCATCATTGTCTTGGATGGGGTGGCACTGCCCCAAGCAGACCCAATGCACAATCTTGGCATCCTCCTGGACTCGTGGCTCCTGATTGAAGAGCAGGTGACAACCATAATTAGGAGGGCATTTGCAGACCTTAGGGTTGTGCTCCAGTTGCGCCCAGGAGGCCCCACTCACAGTCACTCATGACCTTATGACCTCCTGTTTGGAACACTGCAGTGTGCTCTACATGGGGCTTTCCTTGAAGAATATTTGGAAGCTTCAACCAATTCAGAATTCATTGGTTCAGCTGCAGGGATCATAAAAAGGGCCTGTTACTCACTCATGTAACATTATGACTTTGTGAACTTCATTGGTTACCACTGTGCTTCTGGGTGCAATTCAAGATGCTAGTTGTCACCTTTAAAGCCCTTCAGTATTTGGGACAGGTTACTTGATGAAGGACCTGTTTGTTTCCACTTGTCCGATCCAGTTGGGCAGGATGGGCATGCTCTGGGTCCTATTGGCTAAGAGTGCCAGTTGGGGAGGCCCAAAAGCCATGCCTTTTCTGTCCTATAGAACAGGGCTTTTCAACCAGTGGTACTCATACCACTTGTGGTACTTTGCCACATGGCAGGTGGTACACGATTGCTAGCCAAGTGTAGCAAGGGAGGGGAATGAGCTGAAGCGAGCCAAGCCTGAGGGAGAGGCAGCTGCAGCTGCAGGACTGTCTGGGCTCAGCAGAAGCCCCGAGAGCCAGCAGGGCTCCAGCTGATTGGCACTTCGGGAAGCAGCTGGGAGCTGGAGGTGAACTGAAGAAAAGGGGGGGGGAGAGGAGAGGCTATAAAAGAACGTGGTTTGGGTGGGGGAAGGGGAAAAAAGGCACAGGAAAGGTTTAATCCCTTTAAACAAATGTAATTAGTTTTACCCTCCTTAATTGAGTCTGTCTGTGGCTTTTAGAAAGTTTTCTTTGAAGGTAAACAGGCTTAATTTAAAGCTAAAGCTTTTAGTCTAGAATTGCAACATTGTGATACGTGACAGGCCTGAGGCAGCTTAAAGAGAGAGAAAAAATGGAGTTTGTGTTTTATTTTCTTGCTTTGCACTTGATTCCTCTGGCTTTAAGGGTACAGGGAAGGACTTGGGGGGTGCATTCTTAATACACTGTGGAAGAGCTCAGAAGGGCAAACCAGCTAGCTCAGGAGTCTACAAACTTAATCACATTAAGACATGTGGACTTCAACTCCCAGAATTCCTCAACCAGACATGAGGGCTGAGGAATTCTGGGAGTTGGAAGTCCACAAGTCTTAAAAGTGCCAAGTTTGAAGACCCCTGAACTAGCTGGTAGTGGTGCGTATTCATAAACATGGATAAATTCATCATATATTTGTCAGTGCAAAGGGAAAGTGATTCAACAAAGGAACAGTCACCGAAGAAATTAAATGGTTCTTTTTTTCTACAGTTTGTAATATTTTATTAGATTATAGAATAAAATACAAAAATACAAAAGCAAATAGTAGGACACAGTAGGGAGGAAAAAGGGGAAAATGAGAGGGAGAAGGGGAAAAGAACATACTTCCTCTGTTGCAGTAGAAGGAAGCATTAACATTGAACCTCAATTTTTTACTTTTCCATATTATAACAACAAATGAATCTAATCAGTAAAACCCAAAATCCCCCTCCATTTTTTTTTTTAGCCATCAAGTTTTTACACCTTGCTAAGTACTGGTGGTACTCAAATATTGTCATGTCCTAAAAGTGGTACAATCTGTGAAAAGGTTGAAAAGCCCTGCTATAGAGCATTTTCCTGCCAGAGACGAGGATGGCTCTGACCCTGTTGGCCTTTGGTGAGGCCCTAAAGGCCTGGTTCTGTGCATAGGTCTGGAGCCCTGATTGTGTGAAAGGACCCATCTCCTGGCTGTGTTAACAACTGTTGAGCATGATACCTTCCTTAATTCCTGTGTATTTTAATTTTTGTATTTGTGATAGGAACAGTTTTTAAGTTATTTTAACATTGCTGTCCTGTGTCACTTGTTGAGATGGGTAGCTATACAAATTGATTAAATAAATAATTTAATGTATGTTAATAACAATAATAATAATAATTAATTAATAAAGTTGGAAGGGACTTTGGAGGTCATCTAGTCCAACCCCCTGCTCAGGCAGGAAACCATATACCATTTCGGACAAATGGCTGTCTAGTCTCTTCTTAAAAACTTCCAGTGTTGGAGCATTAACTGCTTCTGGAGGCAGGTTGTTCCGCTGGTTAATTGTTCCACTGGTTAATTGTTATCACTTGTTATCATTGCTGGGGTTATTTTTTTTCAGTAGCGATGGTGTGAGAGTGTTGCCATATTCTGGCTCCCATTCACTTAGAAAACAAAGTAATTACGAAGAGTTAAAACTTTAACTACAATATCATATGAACAGAGACACAAAGATATTATGAGCTGTTTTTTAAAGAAATATAAACTTTAATCCTCCAAGGTGAATGACAGATTATACATTTTGT